CTCGGTGTCAACTCAACCAAGCGCATGCAACCATTCACTTCACCGAAGCAAAATTCCAAGTAAGTGGGAAACGAGTAACTTCTCCTCAGGTAGCGACGACTGTGGGGGGGGGCGCCTAAACAGTCCCTTGGTTTATGTTAGAGACACAAACTCTGGTTGGAATTTTTTGGTGGATACTGGCGCTGCTCTTAGTATCATCACTCAAAATAAAACTGAGCTGGGTCGAGAAACATCCCCAGTTACGCTTCAAGCTGCCAATAAGACTAAAATCGCGACATTTAAGCAGAAGACTATAACATTAGATTCGTGGTTCAGGAGTCAATTTCCCTAGGATTTAACTTTAGGTGATTTAGATCCGGTAGTAGTGAGGATGAACTTTCTAGAGAGATACGAATTTCTAGTTGAATTTAAGAAACGAAGCTTAACATTGAAAGAAACCTCGAATTACACGAAAGGCGAAGAAATTCACATCACATATCTCGACTTGATCCAAACTCCTCCAGTAACAACAGAGAGATTCCAAAATATACTGGCGGAATTTCCAAACTCAACTGGACCAGACCTACAGCCATCCAAAGACAAACTAAAAGTCATACGACCAAAACCGAAAGTACACCTGTGTTTGGTAGACCCAAAAGACTAGCACCAGATAAGCTTAAAATCACTAGAACTGAATTCAACTCGATGCTACAACTGGGTATTATCTGTCCCTTTGACAGTCAATGGGCATCCCCTTTGTATGTGGTCCCATACAAAAATGAAGGCATTTGACGACTGTGAATAAATTACAGGTCCCTCCAACGTCAAACCGTACCAGATAGGTACCCAATACCTCATATCCAAAATTTAAAAAAAATTTACAGGGTATAAACATATTTACTAAAATTTACTTTGGTAGGGCATTTCGCAATATCTCAGTAGCTGATGAAGATATCCCATAGAAATCTATTACTTCACCCTTTGGGTTGCTCGACTTTGTACGCGTACCATTCGAACTGATGAACGCGGCAAAAACATTTCAAATATACTTGGATGACCCGCTTCTGCATATGCTATTTGTACGGGGGTTTATAGACGATTTATTAATCGATAGTCCCGATTTACAATCACACGAACGCCACGTGACAGTAGTGTTAAAACGGCTGGATGGAAATGGAATGGATATACATCAAAATGTGCTTTCGTTGTTCCAACTCGAGAATTTCTCGGGTACAAAATAAACCTCGAAGGGGTTACACCGATCAAAGAAGACGTAAACGCCATTGGACATCACCCTGTGCCTAGTTCTCTAACACATTTTAGAAGTATTCTATGTTAAATTAACTTTTATCAAAGATTCATACACGGTTGTACACAACTAATGTAACAGTTGACAGATTCCTTTAAAAGAAAACCTAAAGAATCCAAGCTGACTTACGAGGTTGTTGAAGCTATTAAACAGCTAAAAAGGTATCCAAATTCTCTTTCCCGATTTGCATTCATGGTGAATGTTTCGGACAAGGTAGTAGGCGGTACTCTTAACCAAGTGATTAAAAATGCCGACGAATCAATTGCTTTCTTTCCAAAAGACTTGCTCCAGCAGAACTTCTTGCAATCTACCTAAACATTACGCATTTCCGACACACGTTAGGAGGCAGGGAATTCGCAGATTTTACGGATCACAAACCACTGTACAATGCACTGGAAGCGAGAGCAGATAAATACTTGCTTTGAAAAGTCCGACACCTTGACTATATATCATAGTTTGCAAGTGATATCCGACATGTTAAGGTCAGGAAAACCGGACGGCAGGTGCATTATTTCGACTAGAAATTAACGTGATGCATCAGTTTACAGTAAATTTTGAGATGTTGAGAGACAAACAAAAAGAGGATCAAGAATTACGAAGCCTACTTACAACAAATAACCCTAGTCTCATACTAAAACAGTGACCATCGTCTACTGACCGCATTTTGATCTTCCGTGACATGACCAAGATAATCCCGCAACCTTTCGTCTCCAAATGTATGTGCAGATCTTCATTTCTTGTCTCATCCCGGTACAAATCTTCGGCTAAACCGATCAATGGCCAAATTTACAAAAAGATTTATACAAATGGGTTGAAGGGTGTTTGATGTGTCAATAGTTCAGAGTCAATCGTCACACAAATTTACCCATCGGCGTTTACTCACAACCAAATTCGCGTTTCGCCCATGCGAATATCGATTTAATAGGCTCTTCGACGCGTTCGAATGGTTCTCGTTACCTGTTTACATGTATAGATTGACTCAAGAGATTCCCGATAACCATACCGATAACGGACATATAGCCAAAACAGTGGCCAAGGTCATCATACTGAATTGGGTGACGAATCGTCTAAATTGTACAGAGTGAATGTGTGTTCTCATATAATTGAATACGGATAACTCAGAAACGCTTCGTACGCTAAACAGAAGAACGTAGTCTGGTGTAATCAAATAAATTTCATTTCGTTAGTACTGCGTTCAAACCGTATATTGGGATTTCAGTCAAAGCAGTATGGGTTTTTTAAGTTGTTTCCTTATAGTAGATCGACTGACACTCTAGTGGTTTAAATAGATTAATGTAAGTCACTCAATATAATGATGAATAATGGACTGAGGAAAGCATGAATAGGGGAGAATCAACGAAAACGAAGTGTTTGACACCATTTAGAACTCTTGAAATTTTTCAGTGAAATACAATGTTTGGATACACAGATGAAATTTCGCTTCTATTGCTTGCAATTATGATTACCATTTTTTAGTATTGTTTCTTTCGTAAATTCATTAGTGTAGCGCAAACGTTCCATATTCTTTAGACATCACGATGATTCAACACTTTTAAGTCAAGAAAAATGATGAATTAACTATACGTGTATGCTGTTAGTCATATATAAAACTGTTGTTCATGAGGAAACGGAAATTATGTCACACGGATTACATGTATGCGGACTCGTGTACACGTGTAAGAGCATGCATATATGAAAACTATTACAAGTAAGACCTAACTGACCTCTTGGTTTATAGTAATCATTAGAACCGTTATGGTCGTTACTCTACTTGAGTGTTTTTAATACTATTTATTTTGGAGTGTTATTTGTCATTCGGCTGTCAACCTTCAGACTAACAAGATAACCCCCAAACATTCGATACTTGATCACATAGGCACAACTGATTCAAATGTGAAGAAACAATAAGAGACCAGGTCAACTTCTAGGATTTTTGGGAATAATGTATGTCTAATTACCCAAAAACCTAGAGAAAGCAAACAAGCCAGAGAGGTGGCGCAAAAGGAAAGCTGGAGGGATCTAAGTCAATCAAGAGGAGAAACGAAAACAAAATAAACAAATTTATACAGATTATGTTGAGCCACTGCACAAACCCACGTGCTTCTTCTTGTCAGCTGCTTTTATTTGCCTGCTCATAACATCTAACTCCAACGAACTACAATGATTTCTTCCTCTAATGACGGAACCTAAGCAGTTCGCGAGAACCACCACCATCATGCAGACTGAAGGCCACGATAAGTCGAGTCGATCAACTATTTTATTCATATTTGTTACATGTGCAACGCGTATAACGGCAGACTTACACGATATCAGATGCTAGCAGTGGCCTGCTCAATTACCTGTCATAGCTCAGCTTACATCCTACCAATTCACAGGCTGAATTATAAGGCATGATCCATAAATTACATGCGCACAGCATGCTTCCCAAATTATTAAGTTTATAGTTGTTATAACGTAGACTCATATAGCGCTCGCTGTAAACCACGACCTTGAGGAGACGCGTACGTCAAGTTTAGTCTAGACGTCGGAAGTTACATAGCTGTGCCCTCAGAGCAAGATTCTGAAGAAAAGAAGAAAGAGAAACAGAAGAGCAGCAAGCCACTTGAATACGAACTCCAAATATTGCTTAATACTGTGTAGTAGAACAGATAGGGGTACGATAAATTGGATTAAATTCATAATATCTCTTGTTAGAGTGAAATGGAGTCAGAGGTTCCATATGAGAGAATGTGGTAATAAAGAACGATGAGTTGAGATGTTTAACAGATTGGAGTAAGCTCACATGAAGGAGGGGAAGTGAAGGCTGGTACAAGGAAAGCGGTTTATTAGAAGGGAATATGCATATAGAGGGTGAAGTGTTAAGAATTGTAATGACTATATCTTTTATTGTCTAATTTTTTCTTTCTTTTCTTTTTTTGTCCATCCGATGCCAGCCACACAATCTCATCGTAAAAGTCCGAGTTAGCATGTTATAGGTTGTCTTAGAAGAATAGCTAATCCAGCATAAAAATGGAAACATGAGTGTGAGTGGTGAGCGTAGGAAGACAATCTATATCACATATTGATTGAGGTTTGAACATCTGGACTTCCTGTTTATTGCTCAAAATGACAATTATATACGATTCCACATTCAGCATGCCACTGGGGAATAACACATATATGTCAGAACCCAACTATTCTGAACTACATTGTTGTGTTCTATCTCAAACAAAATAGTGGTCAGCCACTCAGGAACTAGAAGGGTGGCTAAAATGCGTTATATAAATTACATCTAGAGAAAATATTGGCAGCCTGTAAAAGGTAAAGTTACTTTGTCAAGTGTGGGAAGTGCTTCCTGTTCAATTTGAAAGCCAAGCGAGATAACGCTTCTCGAATAATAAACTTCGATAGAATCTTTGTGTGAATATATTGGATACTAGGTACTCAGTATCAATGAAATACATATTGAGAGATTCGTGTATACGCCAAAAATATGACGTTGCTCTACCCACTAGTCACGCGACAGCAAGCGCGTTATTGTGAAATTCTGTCGATCACAGCATTAAGACCTTCGGAACTAGATGTTGGACCAATAAGTAAGAATATTATTGAACACCCGCGAAACAACAACATGTATGTTTGAATGAATGCTCTTCTTTCATCTTTTTAGTTTTCAAGTAGGTAAATTCTTTCTGTTTCACGGTAATGGACTATGAATCTAGTTTGTTTTTTCTGTACATCAGTTACTGCGACAAGTTTGAAGTCAAGGACGCGTGGGCGCCTGGTATCATATGTTTGTTGTTTTGTTGATTTATGGTTATTCTGAATGGTGTTCCCTCTATCCTGTAAAACTTTCGTACATCCTAAACGATTTTCGAGTGAATAGTCTATGAATAATGTACATAGGCGTATGTCTTGTGATTTATATGTCAAATACCTTAAAAACAAACTGAAAACTTTGAGGTAGACAAACGGATGTGCAAAGTATATACTACATAATTAACGGTCAGAAACATCACATTCTTAAGCGTGCTATATGGTTCGACAACAAGTTTAGTGTTTCTTACCTAGGACTCTTAACAAAACTACCAAGCATCAAGGTTAAGATAGATAATTCCAGGATTGCGGTAAGAAAAAAAAGGCAAATAAGAGTCATAATAAAGGAAAAAAGCAAACAAAAAAAGGAAATATAATGAAACGGGAAGTGCAATAATAAGATAGATCTTTATTTGCCTTCTGCATCAAGTTGGTTGACACTTTTCCCCTTTATACCTTCATTTTTGCTTCCCTTTCATTTTTACAAGTATGCATCATAATTAGATCATGTCACCTGAGGTTTCCAACGATTGGTTGAGGTTGTTCCAGGAAGTGTGCATCTCACATGACATGAATAAACATTCAGTAGCTCCATGTACTGATGATAAGACCTAACTTCAGCACCGCTACCCTTTTTGATCTGTTACTAAACCGTGTAACATTGCGCCCTTAACTGTACAGGAGTAACGTGTTTTAAGACACCTTTAGATACCTAGGGTTGATGTCTTCATCTTCCGACTTGTCTACTACTCTGTGCTTGACTCTAACACTGCTACTCAGTGGTTCCATAAGAAGCGACAAAAGTCTCAAAACAAATAATCAAATGCTTACAACTAACTCATTTAATCAACTTCTTAACATTTTCATTTACTGTTGTAAAACTACCCAGAGTGTAAAAAGTACGGAGTAAAGTCGCCTTTCCAATTCCAAAGACAGGTCTCATCTGTGCAGCAATTGAAACAAGACAGTAATATCCAAGCGCACAAAACCAGCGTTTCTTCCGTCAACGACCATCATCTTATAACCAAAATTGGGTTTTTCTCCGGGTCCTTAGGTAACATGACCCCTACATTGTCTAAGACGCTCTCTTATTTGTAAAAAAGTCGGTGAACGATAGCTAACTCAGAAATAGATTTTGTGCAACTCCCATGGTATCATTGAGACATAACATGCATAAAGCAGAAGGGTAGAAAGAAATATCAATGTTGAGGTATCACACTGTCCATAACCTACTTCAAACTAATAAGCTACTTCTAGAGTTTAGTGCAACACTGAAAATGAAGCGACATGATCTCATCAATGGATACGAAGAAGTACTCAAGGGAACAAATGTCCTATTGAGTTAGTTTATAAAGGTTGCCTCTTCTGACTACTTTCTGCTCTGAAATTGGTGCCACACAGTTGTCTAACATCTCTTAGTGCATTTCGGCTCGCTGATTAGAGTCAATGAGACCTCCTGAGACACTATCATGTATGGTAAAGTAAGAGCTTGTCCCCCCCCTCCTACCAGAAAAGACCTACATAACAAATCAGAAGGCCATCAAATTGAATAACTGTCTCGGGAAAGTAACGTATTTTGTTCATTCTGCACTTAAATTTATCACAAGTCAACTCCATATTATACGTTAAAATATAGACTGTTGGAATGCCTGGTTCGATCTTGATCGAATGCTAATGTTAAAGGTGCAAAAATTATTACACATGATCATTAAACTAGTTGTCTGAGTCCTAAAATCGAACGACAATTATACGGACGACTGGGGACACACTAATTATACTGTGGTCCTTTAATAAAATAAAACTGCTTTAACACAGAAGACAACTAGGAGCAACATGATTCAACACAATCTACCAGACAATAAAGGATTAATCAAAGGTAAAAACATTATAAGAAAGTCAAACAGTTGTGACTACTGAATGTGAGGCTAGCTGCCTGTAGTTATGAAAGAGACTAAATTCACGATATTTAAAAAACTCACTTGAAGAAGCACATATTTGAAGGCACTTAGTGGATTCAAATTATTGTTCTTCATGAGCTGGTTCATCTTCTCAGAAGTACGCATCACTGCAAATTACAAAACATTGTTATACATTGTCGCATTATACAGCACATGATAACATTAAGTAGCATCTACTGCAAATCTGACAAAAAGTAGAGGTGTTTACAATCATTTTTGTACAGCCAAGGTGATGTTGTTTACTTGACAAACAGACAACTATTTCATTGGTTTTCGTCATGTAGACGTTCACATGTTAAAACCCAGTACTACGACGTCTTTTACATATCTTTTGACTCAAAGGTCGAATGGGACAATAAGTTTGCTTTTGTTTGTAAATGGTGGTCGTGTTATACTAGTAGTGAAGTGGGCTAGTTTTAGAGTGGAGAATTATAGTGTATATTTACTAATCATCAGCTTAAAACTTGCATGTAAACCTGCAACTCTTTCATTTTCTTCTACTGTATATACTTTAATTGTGTGAATATTGCAGCTTTTTTTTTCTCCCCCTTTCGTGCTTTAGGTCGCTTTTCATCGTTTTCTTTAATGGTAATTCGTCTCTGATCATCAGTTTTCTGTTAGCAACATTTATAAATCACAAGGACATGATTCGGCTCAGTAGAATAACGAAAATGTTTTCAGAAACAGTCTTCATTCAGAAGACAAGTTCTGTTCCTTCGATAACAAGAAAACTTTCTACTAACATTTGCCTGTCAGCTCCTTCTGATTGTGCCCTTCCTGAGCCTCCGTTGCCACCTAACAAAGTCATTTTGAATACTTTGGGTGAACCAACTTTTTCCTCTCTGGGTTTGAATAGCTATTGGCCTTCGGGTTGGTATCAATGCTTGTTGGAGACTCTACATGTGCACCTAGATTTACCATGGTGGGGCGCTATTGCGGCTTGTAAGTTGCAATTTGTAGTTTTTATCTTTTGAGTAAGTAGTATGTTCATGATCATCCATTTAAAATAATAAATCCAAAAAACCTTTGCTGCATGAACTAATCACATTTGTGAGATAATTGTGGAAGAAATTGCGTGTTGCAAAACAAAAATATTTTCTGTCATAGCAAGTAAATTGTATCTTGAAGCATATGACAAATGTAATACTGTGCCAACAATGGATCTCAGTGCTTCATGTGTTAGGTTTACTAAATTTAACGTAAGAATCACCTGCTACCAAGTGTTCATAGTTTGGGAGAGATTCAACACAGCCAGTATCTTTTGTCGACATCAAGGTAGAGGACCATTATTGATTTCATTACCATAGTTAGTTATTCAGTTGTTATAACAACATATTTTCCCCATCATTTACTCAATACTGTTGGGACCTACCAATTCCCATGCTTTGAGTGTACCACAAACTTCTTTACATAAATCATTAGTTGGTTTAAAGTTTGATGAGGATATACGTGTTACGTTGTTTTATCTCTTTTCTAGCAACTGTTTTAATTCGTTTATGTGTGTTTCCTGTCATGGTGCGTCAACGACGTCATTTGGCTAAATATACAAATGTGATGCCTCAAGTCGCTATCCTACAGGAAAGTTTGACACGTGCTAGACTCTCTGGAAATTATATTGAAAGCAAGTTTCACTAACACCATTTTGATAGATTCATATTTTTTGTTTTCAACCAACTGCCTATGTTATAATGCAAAATTTAATGTCACAATCGCCCACTCGAAGTGTACTATGTGTAATATATATTTCTTTACATCTTAGGACGTAAAGACGTTTAGTTGGAAAAAAGTGCTATATACGCGTTCGCCTATAGAGCAATGCCTCCTAAATTTTTGTTTGGTGAGGTCAAAAGATATGTAAAAGACGTCGTAGTACTGGGTTTTAACATGTGAACGTCTACATGACGAAAACCAATGAAATAGTTGTCTGTTTGTCAAGTAAACAACATCACCTTGGCTGTACAAAAATGATTGTAAACACCTCTACTTTTTGTCAGATTTGCAGTAGATGCTACTTAATGTTATCATGTGCTGTATAATGCGACAATGTATAACAATGTTTTGTAATTTGCAGTGATGCGTACTTCTGAGAAGATGAACCAGCTCATGAAGAACAATAATTTGAATCCACTAAGTGCCTTCAAATATGTGCTTCTTCAAGTGAGTTTTTTAAATATCGTGAATTTAGTCTCTTTCATAACTACAGGCAGCTAGCCTCACATTCAGTAGTCACAACTGTTTGACTTTCTTATAATGTTTTTACCTTTGATTAATCCTTTATTGTCTGGTAGATTGTGTTGAATCATGTTGCTCCTAGTTGTCTTCTGTGTTAAAGCAGTTTTATTTTATTAAAGGACCACAGTATAATTAGTGTGTCCCCAGTCGTCCGTATAATTGTCGTTCGATTTTAGGACTCAGACAACTAGTTTAATGATCATGTGTAATAATTTTTGCACCTTTAACATTAGCATTCGATCAAGATCGAACCAGGCATTCCAACAGTCTATATTTTAACGTATAATATGGAGTTGACTTGTGATAAATTTAAGTGCAGAATGAACAAAATACGTTACTTTCCCGAGACAGTTATTCAATTTGATGGCCTTCTGATTTGTTATGTAGGTCTTTTCTGGTAGGAGGGGGGGGGACAAGCTCTTACTTTACCATACATGATAGTGTCTCAGGAGGTCTCATTGACTCTAATCAGCGAGCCGAAATGCACTAAGAGATGTTAGACAACTGTGTGGCACCAATTTCAGAGCAGAAAGTAGTCAGAAGAGGCAACCTTTATAAACTAACTCAATAGGACATTTGTTCCCTTGAGTACTTCTTCGTATCCATTGATGAGATCATGTCGCTTCATTTTCAGTGTTGCACTAAACTCTAGAAGTAGCTTATTAGTTTGAAGTAGGTTATGGACAGTGTGATATCTCAACATTGATATTTCTTTCTACCCTTCTGCTTTATGCATGTTATGTCTCAATGATACCATGGGAGTTGCACAAAATCTATTTCTGAGTTAGCTATCGTTCACCGACTTTTTTACAAATAAGAGAGCGTCTTAGACAATGTAGGGGTCATGTTACCTAAGGACCCGGAGAAAAACCCAATTTTGGTTATAAGATGATGGTCGTTGACGGAAGAAACGCTGGTTTTGTGCGCTTGGATATTACTGTCTTGTTTCAATTGCTGCACAGATGAGACCTGTCTTTGGAATTGGAAAGGCGACTTTACTCCGTACTTTTTACACTCTGGGTAGTTTTACAACAGTAAATGAAAATGTTAAGAAGTTGATTAAATGAGTTAGTTGTAAGCATTTGATTATTTGTTTTGAGACTTTTGTCGCTTCTTATGGAACCACTGAGTAGCAGTGTTAGAGTCAAGCACAGAGTAGTAGACAAGTCGGAAGATGAAGACATCAACCCTAGGTATCTAAAGGTGTCTTAAAACACGTTACTCCTGTACAGTTAAGGGCGCAATGTTACACGGTTTAGTAACAGATCAAAAAGGGTAGCGGTGCTGAAGTTAGGTCTTATCATCAGTACATGGAGCTACTGAATGTTTATTCATGTCATGTGAGATGCACACTTCCTGGAACAACCTCAACCAATCGTTGGAAACCTCAGGTGACATGATCTAATTATGATGCATACTTGTAAAAATGAAAGGGAAGCAAAAATGAAGGTATAAAGGGGAAAAGTGTCAACCAACTTGATGCAGAAGGCAAATAAAGATCTATCTTATTATTGCATTTCTCATTTCATACATATTTATTTTCTTCCGTCTGTTCTGCCTGGTTTTTTGATTGTTGGCGCTTTTTATCATCCGTACCTGCAATTTCAATCGGACTGATGTTTTCTGGTGTGTTCGAATCCTCTTCACGTTATGGGATGTTAGCACTATGCCATTCGGTTTACATCGTGTGAAACTTGGTGACAGTTTGAATGGTACGAATGTTATTAATTCCCTCAAGATTGCAAGTACAGCTTAACGACTAGATCCCACTAGCATGAGACCTGCTGACTAGCCCTAATCACCTAACCTAACAATACGGCGCATGCGACATTAGATTAAAAAATTTGAATATGACATAAGTATTCAGAGTTTGATAACATCTTAGTCTGTAACACTTATAATCGAATCGTGCCCGCGCAGTGAAATCAGAAGTCAGAGGCTAAGAATTTTGGAGATATATTTGATAGGTTATCAATATATGGAGAAGTGTCTGATCTAAACTGGCTAGCAGTTGTAGGAGAAGTTGAACACAGCGTTCCCACTCGTGATCTGGTGTGAATGCGTGACCGAGCACCTTCAGGCTAGGTGAGACCAGTAAAACTAATGTGGTCAGCATCAAACGTTGGAGACTTTCAGAGCTATTTATTTTAGGGATTAATTTACCGTTGCAAACTATTGGTCACACTGTATTTTGGTGGATTGAATTCACTGAGTGTTAAAAAGCCGGTCGAATATAAAACCGGTAACTACTAATTGATCAATCAATCGTAGTGTTCTCCTCAATGTTGACTGTTTTTATGTCCGAAGTAAAGTTCAGTATTACTGGTTTCATTAGTATTAGTTCTCAATCTTTCGTATAGTTCTTCCTTTGATGCATCATTTAATCTTATATGGTTTGTTTGATTACATATTTTTGTGTACACAAAAATTTATGATACACCAATATTGATGATTGCTTTGATCTTTCTTACCACTGATAATGTAATGCTTTCATTTGCTCACAAAGTAGTTGGTTGGCTTAATAAGATTACATAAATTTCTGATAACTAATTGCTGTTTGTCGTGCACTTACCTGTGTTGTTGCTTAACATCTACAATGAACAGTACAATTAATTTAATTGAGAATCGATTTCAGTGTAATTTAACTATATTTTACCCATTGTATTTTATTTTCTCGAATGATGTTTTATCTTTTACTCTCCTAGGCCCCAATTTCCCTTTCCGTTTTCACAGGAATTCGAGGTTTGGTGAATCTCCCAGTAACTAGCTTGCAGACTGGTGGTACTGCTTGGTTTACTGACTTAACAGCATCCGATCCCTATTGCATCTTACCATTTCTCTCCATGAGTTTACTCATGCTGACATTTGAGGTAAAAGTATCATTATACTTCACTTTTCATCTTTCTAAATATTTCTTTTTTTGACCTGACGAACGCGATTTACATCGAACCAGAAATGGAGAAAAAATTATAAAATAATATAAGACGGTTCATGAATCCGTTGTATTGTTTCTTTAGGAAGCTGATTTATTGACTGACAGGTAGAACAAGTAAATTGGTCAAACATATAATTTGTCTTTCAGTTACTGGACATGTTGTTAAACTATGCTAAATCAATCGATCTTACATGACTGTTTCTTGTAATCAACTTATGTGATCTGTAAACCACTGATCATAGCATATTACCAATTAATAAAGTTGAATTTTCATCTTTAACTCATGACTTTCAACCTCCGTAAAGCAGTTTATACCGAAGACGATTCTAAAAATCACTTGATAAACGTTTTGCTTTCATAATGCCATGAGAAAGTTTTTGTAAATCAATTGAAGTGATAAGAGGTGGCTTATTGACACCTTACGAGAACCAAATTAATAACATCAAATGGTGAAATTCAATAGAGCGAATGGCTAACTAGAGTAAGTCGATATAACTTAAAGGGATTTTGGAGATCGGTAATTATTCAATTGCATTTAATACTTTAATTATCAAGTATGTATTTTCAATCGCTAACTTGCTATGTAAACACTAAGACGGTAGTCTAATTTTATGGACAAAGTATTTATTTATTCTCGGGTCAAATACCCATAGAAAAATACAGTTTGGGTACTGACTTACTAGTCAATGAACAAAAGGTAAAGCTTCAGTTTAATTTTCATTTTTTCATACATTAAATATTTAATTCTTCTATATTTAATCGGACTTCCTAAATGAAATATTTCATTTATTTCATTAGACTGGCGCTGAACTACGTTCGAGTCAAGCACAACCTGCTATGCGTGTTCTTTCAAAAGGGTTACCGGTTGTTGGTTTCTTTTTCGTAATGAACATGCCATCGGTAAGGTATTCATCTCAGATATCAGTATGTGTTTGAATGTTCTAATCTTCAAAGTTAATCGCTTGTCATTGTTATAATGTTTAGCTTACTGTTAATCTTATTATTGAGAACACTTAATTAGGTTAATTATTCATGATAAGTCTGCTATTGGAGTTCTCAATTCCATGTCTTAAACCCCCAAACAAATTAGCATGGTAAGTTGAGCACAAGATAAAAGGTACGTAGTGCACTGGTCAAAGACTGGTGATAAGAATTTATTTGACTCTCAAAATAAACCAAACTAAATTATGGATACACCACTTTTTATGTGATTTATTTACTATAAGATTTGTCGAGTTATATTGACCAATAATAATTCAACAATTTACTATATATAATCACAAACAAACAAATCATTTCAGTATTCTACAAACAAATGTGTGACTAGTATTTAGTGCTAATGAAAATCACTTTTTATGTACTTTTTCTAATTTGGACATTTGTAAGTACATTAGAAATAACTAGTATTAGGTTCCAAGTCGTAGGATCCTTTTTATTTCATATGCATATAGCCTCTTGATATCAAAATTATTTCCAGCTAGTTTAGTAAATACTGATTGAGACTTTCTGTCAGGACAGATATAAGTAAAGTGGATAAAGGGCTAGTTGGAACCAACTACAGAAGTTTAAAACATTTATGAAAACAACATATCCAGATAATGTACATGAAACTTCAAGTCGATAAAAAATTCAAAACATCAATATAACTAATACATATTGCAAAAAGGTATCTCAGTCAGTAGATGTTTCTTAGTTCCATTACTTTATTTTTAAAAATATATTATACTTTCTTTTATTCCAACAGGCTTTGGTATGGTATTGGACTGTTAGCAACATAGTTTCTCTTTTACAATCAATAATTCTACGTCAACCGTTAATTCGTTCTTATTTAAACCTCCCATCTGTTCAAAAACCTCCTTCAGTGATCGAAAAGAAACGTGGTTTTATCGCAGGATTCAAAGAAAGTAAGTTCATAGACGTTAACCACTTTTTTATTTATTTAACATACTCCTGATTAAATAATGATAGAGCAATATGAGAATTATCATTTCTATCTAGAAGAATCACCATAGTATACTCATTTTCATTTTATTTAAACTGCCATATGTAAATACTGTTCTGAAATACGAATTTATTTACAATATTTTCATTATTGTAAAACGATTTTTGTTGATACTGATGTTCGGATTACATTTACAATTTCTTTATATTTTAATTCTCTTTACATCAATGCCTGTCTACCACTTTTCCCGTATTTTATTTCTAGTAAATGTTCACAGTGCATTTATTGTTGTCCCACACTCTCGATTTCATTCTTCATAAATGATTTACGAAGTGTTATCATAATATGTGGAACAATCTTTTTATTGATATCATGAGCCGATCAATGTTCGACCAACATTGACAACCTGGAAACACTGGACAGCTTCCAGGTTGAATGGTTTATGATATTAATTAAAAGTCAACAATTTCCACCACTCTATACTGACAATTTTTTTATTGTAATCACTTTTTTCAATAGGAAACAATTGTATGGTTTTCCGTTTTAATAGTCAAATTTATTTCTTGACCTTGAACAACTTGGCCATATCTTTTCAAATGGGATACTAAACCTAGAGTAACTTGTATAGTCCCTTTCAAAATGTGATCTACGGAATTCGCTTATTTCAACTATGTTACTAATGAGTAACTAAGTTTTTGTAAACTGTTTTTCTCAAGATTCATTGTCGGTTGCTGTTTAGCTGCTTTCCTATTCTTTCGCCCAAGCACTGGGTTCCTCGGCAGTGCGAACCAACGACCTTGTCGAGGATTTAAACTAGCCGTTTAAGTCTCAAAGCGGGCGTTTAACTTGTCGATTACGTAGGGGGCATTCATCTGTTTTCACCTCTAACGATATTTTGTAATTATCCTTAAATACCCTTACTGGGTAACTGTCTTCCAGAACACACTTCGATTATAATAATCACATGCTCACTAGCGAATAGCTTTGATAGATAAGCCCCTGAATTCTAGTTAGAAGCAATGACCAGTGGAGTTTAACTATGTCGTGTGAGGCAGTTACCCATAAATGACATTAGATGATTGAACGATATTTGGAATTTATCGAGGTCAGACACGAATAATCGGATACAAATTCAGTAGTCTAGAATTTAAGGACTCACCTTAAGACTCGAATGTCTGGGTTTGGTCCCTGACTGAATTGTGGATAAACTGCGGAGTCCCATACTAAAACAAAGCAACTGAACAGTGCTTCCTGGTTTTTAATTGTTGTTCAACTAAGAACAGTTCATGATGTTAACTATAAAATTCAAAGATCTCGGCAAACCACTTAAGATACTTTCTTGTTGATTGAAGTAGTAATATCAAACCAGTCATTTTTGTTCTCGTCTGTAATAAATATTGGTCGTTGTATAAACATTTTAATATAATTTCTGGGAAACTGGAAAGTCAGTATGGCTTTAATTGTGTTCGGGCGCATTATTCCAATGAATGTGATACTGTTTCTGTTTTCTATAATAAAATTTTTTATTTAGCTTGTCCTAGGGCTTAGATTTTTTAGAACTAAGAGAAATATTCTGTTTTTTGGAAATTATACAATTATAAAACAGGCTATTTATCATGTATATTTTATTCACAGTTGTCATCTGCACAATTTTCGTATTTAGAAAGTAGCTATATTTTTTCCTTTACACACATAAACATTGGTACAAGGAGGTTCAATTCACTTGCTTACATCTGTTACTCCTCATGGAGGAGTATCGGCCGTCCATCACTGTCCATCCAACTTTGTCCTGGGCAATCCTTTCCAGTTGCTATTCATTCTTTTCATGCCTGCTTCCGATTCCCGACGTAGTGTGTTCTTCAGTCTTCCTCTTTTTCTTTTCCATTCAAGATCCCAAGTTAGCGCTTGCTTTATAATTTCCTCAATGTGTGTCCTATCCACTTCCAGATCCTCCTTGTTCATCGATGATGCTTCTCAGGTACGTAAAGGATTCCACATCTTCCAGAGCTTCTCCATCAAGTGTGATTCGGTTGCTGTCCTCCATGTTGTATTTGAGGATCTTAGTTTTTCCTTTGTGTATGCTGAGGCCTATGGATGCAGAGGCTGCTGCTACACTGGTTGTCTTCATCTGCATTTGTTGATGTGTATAGGATAGAAGGGCCAGGTCATCTGCGAAGCCCAAATCTTCCGATCGATTCCGAGCCGTCCATTTTATTCCATGCTTTCTGTCAGATTTTGAGGTCTTCATGATCCAGTCAAACACCAGAAGCAAGAGAAAGGGGGAGAGTAATCAGCGTTGTCTGACACCCGTCGTCATTTGGAATGCATCTATCAGCTGTCCTCTTTGCACGACCTTGCACTGTAGTCTGTCGTTTGAATTCCGTATGATGTTGACGATTTTCTCAGGTACTTCATAACGTCGAAGGAGGTTCCCTAACGTTCTTCTATCCACTGTCGAACACTTCCTCATATTCAAGTTGATGTATAGTGACGAGTTTCATTCAATTGATTGTTCAACGATGATCTGTAGTGTCGCGATTTGGTCTTTGCACGACTGATCCTTACGTAATCCAGCCTGTTGATCTCGAAGTTGGGCGTCTACTGAGTCTTTCATCTGGTTCAGCAACTGTGTTGAAAACTTGTCCTGGTACTGACAGTAGTGTGATGCCTATATGGTTCTCACATTTGCTCAGATCTTTCTTTGGAATCTTGATGAAGTGACCTTTTTTCCAGTCTGTCGGCGCTTGTTCTTACTCTTAAGCCTTCCTGAATCAAATGTGGAGCATATCTGGAGTTACCTTAATGTTTGACTTCATTGCTTCTGTTGGTATGTTTTCTGTTCCTGCTGCTTTCCCACTCTTGATTTATCTGATGGCCATCCTAATTTCTTCCGTCGTTGGTAGAGTGACATCTATAAAAAGGTCTGTATTTGCTGCTTCGATGTCCAGTGAATTCAGTGAAGTTGGTCTATTCGTGAGTTCCTCTAAGTATTCTACCCATCTGCTCCATTTGTGTGGTGGCTGGAATACTGCCCGATGTCGAAACCAAAGTACGTTATTTCTAGGGGGTTATTTTACGAACGTTTGATCTAAAGGTCTAATTCACAAAGCGGCGGAGCAATGTTAGGAGATGCAGTCCCATGATCGCCATTTGTCTCCTCAGGTTTCTGGAGCCCACGTGCAACTCTCCTAGGTGGATCGTCCATATTCACCAACCCGTTTAATGCATCGGACATTCGTCCTCTCAACAACAACACCGCCGCCACGAGAAGGCAGTGAGTCGGACTTCTTTGACAGTGGCTGTATACGCGTAGCCATGTGAAAGCATTTTGAGAGCGAGAGTAAACTCTTACCATCCTCGGCTATACCAGGGCATTTGGGGGTGAAGTACTGTTTTCACGTAGTACACGATGCATGTTGTTAATATAAATCACAACCTTAATATTTTTTGCATTTACGAGGAATTTCGCTGAGGTTAATCGAATACCAGTTATTACCTATTGTTGATTAACTTCATGGAATGTTTCACTAAATAGTTTTTACATGCAGTAAAACTAAATTTAGGTGTTACAAAATTTCAGCTGGTGGCTTTCAGGTAGAAGTCATTAATTAATGTGAAAATGACATCATTTTATCAGTTATGTTTTTGCATCTGATTAAACACTGAAACTTAATTGTTCAAGCCCTGACAAACCAAACCCTAATATACTTTACAGTTGGGTAAAAACATCAGAAAATCTAAGATGATAAATCTATTGAGATTTCACTTTGATTTTACGGTAGCGTCTGAAAAAGTGTTTAAACTGCGATTTAAAATTTCACATTTTGCTTGAGCGTCTGGCATTGCCAAACAGATTATATTCTAACTGAACTAAGTTCCATATCCCAACCAAATATATTATAGAAGACTGATTTACTGACAGAATTTAAGTAAGAGAATTAAATCTAGTGTTTCTATGTTAAATAATCCAGCTACTAGTATTATTGAACTCCATATTAGGTAATAGATAAACAATTTTAAAATGCTAGGGATCAATAGAAAAACTCAAAAATGAACTCCTTCCAGTCTTATGAGGAATAAGATGATTTTGTGACCCTTCGTTCTGGAGTTAAAAATAAATATCAATAGGACTAGATTGTGTAACAATAACCAGTAGAACAACTACTGCTTTATTCATGTTTTCTAAACTTTTGTTTGATATGCTGAGTCACCTAAATAAAGCCAACTGGATGGATCTAAAAATGTATTTACTGTTTTCCCTTTTCATGTGATTTTTAAATGCTTGTTGACAGGGGAGATATTTCGGTTTTTTGATTATCACTGTTCTAGATCTTAGTTTGAATGAGTTACTACTACTTGTCTTACACATTGATGGATAAAGCTTTCTTTTGAACTTGTTTTTTGAATAATTTTGCTACCGCGACACATAAATTGCTTCATTTGTTTGCGAATAAAAGTTATACTCTTTGTACAGTTCTTGTCAATAAAGTCCTTGGGTGCTACATTTTATTGATTATTGAGTGTTATTAATATGGGCATATTATTCTCTTTTTGTCTTGTTCATAGTCTATTGAAAATATTTCCCTGTTTATACACAGTATTAGTGTCATGGTTATTTTCGTTAAAATTTATTTTATTTCTTAAAGCGTTAACTAATTCACGCTTGTTAGCGGAGTTGGATTCAAGAGAACGAATAGATGCGAAAGCTTGGCAGAAATCTGGTCATAAGGCTCCTCCTGTTACATTTATTTCTGACCCGACCAAGCTTACATCAAACCACGAGAAAAAAATTTCTTCTGACAAAACAACTGATAACGGATCACGAGTGCAGTTAAAAATCAAACAAAGCCTCGGCAGTCGGTAATATTTCTAAGCTTACAAAAACAGTGTGTGTTTTCTTCTTTATGACAAAAAATATTTCCTGGATTTGTATAGTCATTTCAAAAGAAAATAATAGATGATTTTACATTGACGGATTCTACTTTTAAATGTTAAGTTTACGTCGGTGTTATTCGCATAAAACTTCCGAAAAACTACCACATGCCTGTGGATTACCATGTTCGTACTTTCATGTCATAATAAAAAAACCAAAAGCAATAATAGGGGTCCTTAGTTATTATTCACGTTTCAATCATTTGGAATCTATTCATTATATTAATTACTACGTCCTTATATGTATGAAATGTTTAGGAAATATCTAGACAACGAATTAAAATTACTTTGGCATAAAATTGTGATTATTTGTCAATGTTTTCATTAAGCTTCCGTCGATGCTTAAAATGAAACTGCTAACGCACTTATGGCCTCGTTGTTTTCACAAACATTATTTCGATCGACTCGAGGTCGACGGTAAACCACAAACATTTTTGGTGTAAATTGCATTATCCCATCAAAACTAAGGTCGAAGTGATAGGACAATGGTTTACGATTCAAAAGCTCAATTGTATTGGGCTTTTCAGTTCGGGGTTGTGGAAATTGTTAAATTTCATTAAAATCATGGACCGATCAATGTCAGACTACCATTGTAAATATGGAAACATTGGACGGCCGTTCCTTATTATGCTTGGCGTAAAACCTTGATGCTCCGAGTTCAACTGAATGTTGATCGTGGTCATGCGCTTCCGATGATATGAAAACAAAATAACTCGACTGTTAAGTACATCTCAGTTTTCAGAGGTTATCTAATTCAAACCAGTTCACAATCACATACAAGTTTCTTGCAAAGTCGCCGAAACAAAAAAATAAATACAATCTAGGAGAGGAAAACACCGAAAGTACGATGCGGCAAAAAAGAATTCATTACATCACTCGGCTCTGGTCATAAAAATTGGTTACTTGACTTTTAGGACACTTCATTGCCAATAGAAAGCATCTCAGGGTACCGAAATCACTGATCAAGCTACGCTAAGTTGTCTCATAGCATCTTTAGCCCGATACGAATATGTCTGTATGCTACTTGGTGAAGAACCTATGAGAACATGTCAATTCGGGAATACTGATGATGTGTAGAATAGTGGCCTTAACAATCCTTCAACGCTTTGTTAGGGCTCGTGAGGAGCGAACTCAGGCCTGAACGTAAGCTCAAATCATCGCCTCTCGTCAAGAAATAACTACTGGGTCCCAAACATAGTTGTATCTCTCGATCTTAAGGCAGCTTTCAGCTCTGCAGGTCGACAGGTTTAACGGCAGTATCCGCGATCGAATGACGTGACAAAGAAGTATATTAACCTGTACTGACTATTTTAAAACATCGTTAATCGAATCACAGCTTACAGAAAACCATCAACCTGGTATGATGTTCTTCACGGTTTTCTGCTTTCCCCATTCTTATTTAACTTCGTCATAGGCGAGAATCGTATCCCTAGAAGATTGCCAGAGTTTTCAGGAGCTGACGTCCTACCAACAGATTTAATTAATGACTTCGAATACGCGAGTGAAAATTCAGTCTATTGATCGCATTGCGTAAAAATATTTTGAATGCATTCTTTTCTGTCCAAATGAAAGATACTGGTCTGTGTTGGCACCTGAAATAATAGCGCGTGAGTTGGGCGTGTATCGACCACTTCAATTATCTTGAAAGTTCTACTATGGTCCAGATATTTTGCAGACATTTTGATCATCGGTTATATATTGGTTAATTCTAATAGTGGGACATTATTTAGTTTTTACAGTGCCTTAAACTGCTGAAAAGAGCATTCTTTTGTGAATGCGGGGGCGTAATGACTGCGAGTACAGAGTAACAAAGTAGTATGATATTTTGCCGCAAATTTCGTTAACCTTGAAGCTGAAACATGGAAAGTAGTTTATATAAGTCTGTGGATAATCTTAATAAAGTTTCAAAAAATTCTGCTGGCCAAAATTAGTGAGATGATATAGGCTAAGACTTAAGGATTAAGACGAATATGTGATGCTAAGGATTTGGGGTTAATGTTGAGATAGCAGTTGGAGTTGGAATTTAGGTAGATTGATCGTAAAACCTAATTCTGACTGTAACCTTAAAACCTAATCTTGAACCTCAAGTCCGTAACTAAGCTGTCTGAAAAACTATTTCTTTTAGCCAAAATTATAAAATCTCCATCTTAGTCCCAAATCGCAATGCTATCGCATTACAACTATAGATGCTAGTCATAAATTCTACTCTTAAGCATAAGTATCTAATGGTGCTTGCGTAGTCAAAACTGGTTATCTACGTTGAGCGATTTGATGTGACCCTGTTGCTGTCTGCATGTTTATTCTTGGCGCACACTCATGGTTCCACTTTGCTGAATCAAGTTATGAGTAGTATTCAGGTTAGCCTTCAAACTAATTTGGAACTAGGGTTCGGATTGTGACACATAAACTAACGTTAATTCCCATGACTATACTCTGATCCTAACCCCAAACTATAATGATTAAAAGCTCGGAGCCAATCTATATAAGTTCGTTTAAAAATCAAAATCACAAAACCTAGTAAATCCTTCATTTCCTATTCTGACTAATTCACTCAAATCTACTTTTCTCCTAATGGCTTGAATTAGTCAGGGTCCAAAAGGACTATAATTTATAAACAGACCCAATATAATAGGTCTCGGGTCTTTACGTGAATTTCAGTAGTTTCCTTCAATGCAGAACATTGAAAATTGTCAGGAAACTCTGTTACTGTGAGCTCGAAGAGCTGTTCACAATACCAGAACATTCATACATTCAAACAAGAATTGCTAAGACTTTCAGGGAGACGGTCAGATCTAAGATAGTGTTAACTGAACTTCACGTGACGTTCAAGACAATTTATTATGACCCATGAATTCATTGGGATTACACGTTAAGCGTAGTTGGTGTGATTCTAAGCACAGTCAATCGTCTTTGTGTAGCTAAAAGATATTCACCCACTCTAACCCCTACTTCTAAAACTTTTTAAAACCTAACACAGTAGGACTAAGCTGAAACTTTCGACTTAACACCTCTTGAATTTGCACGCTAAATTACTTTATCCATGCTGCCACAATTTATTCTTGCATTGTAGTTGGTGTTACTGCATGATGAAAACTCTGCGCATAGTTTCCAATCTAAACAATATAATCTATCTCTGCTTCTGATTCCGAATTATAGGTCTTTCCAATCATTAGTCATATCGAAACTTTATTTACTTCAGTTTCACTACCTTTCATTAGGAACTTCTTTATGACTAAATGGTTTTCTGATTGTCTGATAAATCGCTCAGCGTCTTCTCTTTTTCATTTATTTAAACACAAACACTGGTACAAGGAGGCACCAAATAAATCATTCGATTCATGTGAGGGTTAGGATACTGTCCGGGTGTCCAAACCACAGCATGTAGTTTTCTTAGACGGCCACACCACGAGCCTTCGACCTAAAGGTCTGATCCACAAGGCAGTGGAGCAACCTAACGAGATGCAGTCCCATGGTAGCCGGCAACCAGCGATAGGTTCATACGACATTTATTTTCTGGAGCTCATGTGCACCATTGGCTTGGAGTCAGGGTTTTACAACTGTAGGTGGGACCTCCGAATCCAACAACCCGATTGAAGCGCCGGACATTCGCTTTTCGTCCTCTCAATTTCGCAAACAACAACCGTGCCACGAGAAGGCAGTGAGTAGGCCACGTGCTTACAACCACTGCCAAGGAAGTCCTATTCACTGCATTTTTGTGGCGGGTGTGTTGTTTACGAAATTGAGAGGACGAAAAACAAATATCCAAACCTTTAACCAGGTTGAATACGGAGGGTGCACCTCGGTAAATTGTAAAACCATGATTCCAAGCCAATGGTGCACATGAGCTCCAGAAAATAAATGTCGTATGAACCTATCGTTGGTTGCCGGCTACCATGGGACTGCATCTCGCTAGGTTGCTCCACTTCCTTGTGAATCAGACCTTTAGGTCGATGGCTCCGGGTGTGGCTCTCTAAGAAAACCACCTGCTTCGGTTTGGATACCCGGGCAGTATTCCAGCCTTTACACGATTCGAATGATTTATGTAGAGCATATTTATTTGGTGCCTTCTTGTACTTATGTTTATGTGTTTAAATATACAAAATTTTGAGTGTGAGAGATTACTCTCCAGTCTCCAATCACTGGCTACGACAGTCGTGCGGACCTCAACCAAATAGTCTGCATCTACCAACATGGCTCAGACCAGAAGTTGGTGACTTCATGGACTGATGCCACATTTTGGTTTGGCCGCCCCTAACTTCCAACCGTCTAAAACATCAGCCAGCATCGCGCATCGTGGTAGTTCGGCATGCGTAATACGTGGATCGACCATCTCAATCGATGAAAATTCACAACCGCATCAACTGGTTTACCATAATTCCTTAATACTCTGAGTCTGATACAAGAAACAACACAATCTTTAGTCCATAGTACTGGGAATTTTTGTGTGGATTACGCCCAAAATATCTTATGGCTCAACTGCTGTACCTAAATTAGTCTAGAAATAGTTTACCTCACCACTTAAAACCTCTTGAACAAAAAATTGACTCAATTGGTGCAACAGAAACAGTTATTTCAAAGAACCCTTTTTCATGGAGTATGTATTATTTCCAGGGCTAAAAACATTCAGTCAACCCAGTAATATCACATGGATAATGTTTCTGTTTGTTTGCAAACTAAAGACAAGTTAGTGCATAATGAATCTAACGTTTGCTTTGAGTCGTAAACAAACAAAACATTACTCTGTAACACCAACGCAATAAGTTCTTTACACCCTCTGCAATACTTATCGTCTAATACTGATCAATTTAAAATTGTCCCGGAGTCCATATGCAATGCTAATTAGGAATCACGGTTTCCCAGGTGAATCCTTGTACCCACCAGCCCGGCTCAAGTGCGACTTTCGCTTTTCGTCTGCCCAATTTTGTAAACAACAACCCAACCGCGAGAAGGCAGTGAGGAATTTGCTGACAGTAACTATATACGCGTGTTCATGAGGTCATTTTGAGAGGGAGAGTGGAATTCGTCGTACTTATTTGAAAAACGTTATTCCCTATATTCACGATACTAATTTTACGGAAATTACAGAATATTATGCAGACTATAACAAGGCGTTGTGTAAATACATAGAACCCGGGAGAACAAAAAAGGCAGGAATAAAGCACAAATACTTCTGTAGGATTACCCTGCCAAAGAAGTACAAAATTGACAGGAAGTTGTTCGTAATTTGGGCCACTAACGGTGAACATTAAAATAAATCCGAACTTTACAAATAAAATGGTTAAGTACCTCAGGCTACAAAAATCTGCGTTTTCGACAACAGAACAGTCAGTAGAGTAACTTGACAAATTATTTAGATATGAGACTGTTAATTAGTAAACTCGAAACGTTTTATTATTAGAGAAAGAATCCAGCGGTAACCAAGGAAAGAATTACTAACCACTGAACAGAAGTTGGGTCGTCTATTTTGCTATTAATACTGTTATTAGACAATTTACAGCTGTTGTCTCTGCAACTACTACAAAGGTTTAATTTTACAATTAACTCTTTGGTTCTCCAAGTAACGTTTGAACAGTACATTTGAGCTCAGTGTCAAACGCCATAATTTTTGGTCAATGTATTTATAGTGACAAAAATTTTAGCAGTTATGTTCCTAAGTCACATGTTACGTAAATTTAAACAAAATAGACCATACTTCTAAATCCTACTTCATTTGATTTAACGTACTGTCCTGAAGGACTCACTTAGAAGGTATAAGAAACGCTGTACAACCCGTCGCTCCCTACTCACCCATAACCTGGATTTCGTTTAAAAATTAAAGGTAAACTAAACAGCCATGTAATAGAGTACACTTACATTGGAAGATTTCACATAAGATAAACAAGAAAGTAGTTTATAATCTTAATAATCATAAAAACAAACAATAGTAATTGCCCATTCCCAATTAATTGGTATTTAGCTGCAGCTAGCAGGTACCAACTTTAGTTATGCAAAAAACTATCTCCCATTGGAGGTGACTAGTATTAAATGAGTGAAGACACGTCAATGTTACAGGTATCACTAACTAGCGACAGCACATCACTGTGATGATATTCATCACACTATCTATACACAACGGTTAGTCAAAATTTGGATATTGACTCGAAAAATGGATTAAGTGGATGCTGAAACAGCATATTCTCGGTTGACAAAAGTACATATCACCAATCTGTAATCTCAGTTTACCTACAGTCTTAAGATTATTAAATGAGTTGCATTTTTTATTAATATAAAATAAATTACATGAATAATAAGTATTTAATCAAGATATTGAGCAAGCCAATTAAACGCTTCACCATACCCTTGCCGTTTTAATATACTGCACATGAACAGTTCAATAGGTCTCCCAGTAGGTATTTGACTTTTGTTAATGGTACCCTTTCCTGTTGTGATTCCCTGTAACCCCAAGAAATACCGCAATTCTTCCTCACTAGCTGCACCGGGTTTATCTATTTTGTTTCCGAGTATTAAAATAGGAGCGTGAGCTATCTGCTCATCCTGCAGGAGATTGTCCAACTCCTTCTTTGACTCCAAGAATCTTTAGTATGTACATGGAAATAATCCCAGTAACTAACCTGTTACGATCATATGCATCTACCATAAAGACAAGGCCATCAACAGCTGGGATGTAATTTTTCCAAACGCGCCTTGCTTGTTCATGCCCACCAAGATCAAATGTCGTAAATCTCATCCCACCGATCGACAATTCTTCAGAAGTTGGATGAAGTGTTGGAACATGTTGAGCCATGCGATCATCTTTCAGACGATGCAGTAATGTTGTCTTCCCAGCATTATCTAGCCCTAAAAATACCAGCTTTCCGTTTTTTTGCCATAAGCCGAGATAACTCAGAACCTTTGACACAGAACCAGACAACCAGTCCCAAATAAAACTCATGATTTATACTAAATATATGAAGTGTCGTCGTAGATAGAGTACCGACATAATTTCTATTTGCATCCGACACGGGGCTTTCAATGATACGAACAAACAAATGATAACCCTTACTAAGCAAATGGTAAGTTGATTGACTTGTATTATTTTTACAGTGAATTTTTTTCTTCAAGGTCCAGTATGTTTTTATAATTGATTAGAAATGAAAGTATTTCCTCTCACTAGAATAAATTTCCAAATATTGATCAATTGATGCGAAGGAAGGATTCCTGTCTTTAGTTTTACCATCCGCGATTTGCGAACCGTTTTTAACGGTCTCAGAGGTTATTAATCTTAGCAAGAGGAGAAAACGAGATGTTACAGCATCTACTCAGTTCGCGATTCACAGTCCTGTTATAAGATCACTTACTGTCCTTGTAGGGTTAGTGAAGTGTCACTGAGCCCTAGCCAACTCATCCGGCAGTTGTGTCACTGGATATTGAACAGTTCATCGACCTCCGTCAAAGTCAAGAGCGAACAACGCGCACCAGTCAATCATACTCCATGGACTGCTGTATGCAGTGGTGGTCACACTTTCGCTTGTACCTTCTCTAACTAACACATTTCCATCACAGTACACTTTGTTCTATACGGTTCTCAAAGCAGCCACAGTACCTTGAAAAGTTGAAGGGATAATCCATATTAGGTGCTGACCGCAATGTTTGAGTTAGAAGTCAGCCTCTGGTCATACCATTCCCGTCTAACTCGTGTAGGTCCCCAATCATTCGACAGAGATCGTCAACGTTGATGATCTACACTAGTGAGTAGTACTTCGAATAACGCGACGTATCATTGCATTTTATACTCATTCTTTTTCGTTTTTATCACCGCCTATGTTGATCAGTTGCTGTGGACATTCGTTGCTTCATATCAATGTTGATTAGTATTTAAAACTAAATAATTAGTTTATCGACAGAACTAGCCAATCTGCCACGAGTATAATGGCTATCGTGTGTGATTACCACTCTGGATAGTAAATCAGTACTACCAGGGCACTACAGCGTGCTTACACTTAACCTACCATGAATCTCAGTTTGCTTCATATATTTGACACATTAATGCTGCAAAAAGAGGCGAGTAATATCGCTAATCGTTTGAGACGTAAAACACACAATATCGTCACCTCCGCCTTCTCCATTGCTAGGTATTTATCCGCGTTAAATATTGAATATCTATTTTCTGAGTAGTCTCGTGTTCACAGTTTTGTGGATTGTGTGGCTATTGTCCAATGCCACTACACTACTCTCCCACCAGAATCAACGTGATGTTGGTTCGATACCAAATTGGATGGGATCGTCGCGCGCCGGAGGTTACCAAGGATAATAAGAATCCTCCGGGTATTGGTAAGCTCAAAGATAAATCAGAAAGAAAGCGGCAGCATCTGATCGGGAAATATATGTAATAATTTTAAAATATCTGCCTTCATCCTTAACATGCTTGAAATGAAAATTTGGGTGAAGATTATTTGAGCTAGAAAAAACGGGATTACGATAATAATAATAATAATAAAACGATGAGTGTTAATAGCCGTTGGTTAATAACTTAACGTATAGGTAGTAAGTATTTTGTGTTTAGAAATATTAAAGTAATGAATATTGTAGAAATGTTAATATTGATATTAGTTTTGGTTTAAATTATGAAATCAAATAACGATTATGCCGGTAAGTTGTCCATATGAGTTGAATTCCAATTGCATCTGTATTAGTAGGCTAACTGAAGGAACGAAAGTATACCGTGGAGAAGAATTCCAACTAGTGTTCCAGTTAGTTTGATACGGTTTATTTAGTTACGGGAAGATTTTCTCAACCTCATTTTTACTTGACCGTGGCAGAATTTAGTAATACAACTAATACACATGAATGGTTATCAAAATAAAATTAAAATACATGAGTGATAATTATATGGATTTTGGACAGATAGCTAGGAAAAATCGTTAAACATGAGTGTGTTCGTAAGAGACATGCTCTAGACTCAATGTTCTGATCTGCGATAAACTATTTATTTATATTTATACTTGCCGGCTGATGGGCATACAAGTCAGTTGCACGTATGCGGGCAGAATACGATTTAAATGAGATATGGTGATTATAAGTTACTGAAATCAGTTAAGCCTGTGTAACATTACTAAGTGATGTGGTGCTGTAAGATGTACTCGGCTAAATACGTTTTTACAAGATGATTAACCGTGAGTGATGCTCATGTGATTATCAGGGAGTACATAAGTTGTAACCAGGGGGAGTACACTCCCAACTCATGTCTATGATAATGGCTTGAACCTTAGTCAGTGTTGGGGTAAATTCGACATTGATGTTCTGAGTTTACAGGAGGTTTGCTCGACTGCTTATACTGATTATTTGCATGCATGATTGTGTCGCTAAACCATCAATTAGACTGACAAGGTTTTGAGATATTTGCTGAATAAGCAACTGATAGAGAAACATACTGTAATCATCTGTAGTGAATGAAGATAAAAGAAAAACAACACTAGTGATAATTGTAAGTCAATTTGCTGACCGATTTTGTTAATAGTCTCATTAATTTTATCAATCATATTACGTGATTGTCAAGTCATGACAATGCTTTGTGACGATATCCTGAAACTATTAAATTTAACTAATTATAGTGTTGATTGATGATTAGTCAGTGGAAAAATAGGTATTGTTGCTTTAGTTGATTCGAAATTATCAGAAATTTATAACGTTAAAGAATCCGAGACGCCTAATTTAATTATAAATTTCAATTCAGAAATATTCGTTTAGTGTTAATTCTAGTAGGCTACGGAGTTTTGATTTTAAACGTTTGTTTAGCCAACAGCTACCTGAGGATTTAGTTATTTTACTAGAGCAGTTAATAGTACCTAAAATTTTAATCTTATTATCTAAACTATGTTCGCATTTTAGGCTGCTAATATGATAAACCAATCCATAAACCCAAATACGATTAGCAACAACGACTATGATGGGTTTATTGATAAATGTTGAAGGCGATTCAGATGATTTCTAAATTCAAAAGATATGAAGATATAGTAAAACGTATGTACGGGCCAGGTTGACAAGCAGGTTGTTGACGTATATAAAAATTTAAAAATAATGAACATGACCAGATAAATAAATTCCAAGTTAAGACTGCTTATGAAACTTCAAGCAGGAATATGACGCGTTATAAACATTCCATAAGAAGTTGCTGCATTTAACCTAGGGACACTTACAAATATATGGCAAAAGCAACTGGAAAACATATACATGTTAAGTACAAAAAATCGTCCAGTAAAATAGTTGAACTTGTCTGGATTATTTTTGAGAATTAGATTATTCAGTGGACGACATATATAACGCCATTCGTGAGGAGTAGTAATGATCCAAAAATATCCAGAATAAAACATGCAGTATGGCAATCACTTCCAGGGTGCTTGATGCTGTTGAGGTCTTTGGGACTCGCTCTGATCAGAACAACTGAATGAATCCAGATAATTGTGTGTGCCATTGAATTAGCCATCTAAAATGAACTTGTGATTGCAGAAAACTTATAGCTGGAACTTGTAGTGGCATCGGACAATAGCCACACAATCCACAAAGCTATGAATACGAGACTACTCAGAAAATAGGTATTCAATATTTAACGCGGATAAATACCTAACAATAGAGAAGGCGCGAACAGTGAATTGAATGACTGGAGTTGATCTGATGGCATGGCTCGACCATGCAGGCGTGGTCTCTGCCGAATTTTACCTTATATCTTCTATTCATAATAAATATATTGTTCCTTCTCTAGCCTAACCTTGTTCTACATCATGTATTGGTAATTGATACGATACAGTGAGTTGGTGTAGTCGATGGTGTGACTTCCACGTAAGATCTTATGGATTAGGCAGTTATATCATGACAAATCTACAAATTTAGGATTAGGTCTATTATTAAAGCAGTACTGATATCATGGTAGACCATAAATTCTATAAACTCACCGTATTTTTTATTTTGGAGAAGTGTCATCCTTGTTGTTTGTCTATGGAACTCGAAAATATGAAATTAGGCAGGCAATGGTCGGAAGAAAAGATATTACAGGACAGTGCTTAGTTTGAAACAGGTTGAGGTATTAAGTGAAGGAACACTGAGAATTAGGTCCAGATAACTATTTAGTCCTTGATTGCATTGCTAGTCAATGTATATTTACGCTATTTACAGGTTATATTTGCAAGAGCTTGATGTTTAAACAAGTCTATGTCGCTGAAGCATGTAAATGCTATTAAAGCTTGTTAACGAACCATCAAAGCTAATTAATTGATATAGATGATCAACTTTTATTATCGATTGAGCTAGTAAGTTATGTGAACTAACAGATATAACATTACGATAATATATGTGACCATTAATCAAAGGACTATACGAATACTGGGTTTACAAAAACAAAAACCGATTGAGAAGGTTAGGGTGGAAATAAGGATTAACAATAATAGGTTGCGTTTCTTTAGTTGGGCTCACCAATGTATAATTATGGTCTACTATGATATTAGTACTGCTCTAATAATAGACCTAACCGTGGAAGTCACACCATCGACTACACCAACTCACTGTATCGTATCAATTACCAATACATGATGTAGAACAAGGTTAGGCTAGAGAAGGAACAATATATTTAATATGAATAGAAGATATAAGGTAACATTCAGCAGAGACCACGCCTACATGGCCGAGCCATGCCACTCGATCAACTCCAGTCATTTCAATTCATTCTTCGCGCCTTCTCCATTGTTAGGTATTTATCCGCGTTAAATATTGAATACCTATTTTCTGAGTAGTCTCGTGTTCAGCTTTGTGGATTGTGCGGTTATCGTTCAATGCCACTACACATCCATCTAGTGACTCCCGTGGAATCTTGATTTAACGATGGGTCATAATTTTTTCAAAAGATAATCCTCTTACACCCAGGACAGAGTTCAAACGTGTCGAATGTTTTTTTTATTGGAATCTCAATTACAATTTTCCTTATTATTCCGGACTTCAGACCAACAGAAACCTTATAAGGTCTACAGGATCAATTGTGCTGAAGAAATT